TTGAAAATGTTGCGCCCGCGGCGGGTTTCTTCAGAGCCTCGCAGACTGCAGACGTCCCCGCCGCCCCCTCGCTCTTATCCGCAACTGCGGGGTGCCACGTATACCCCCAAAGGGGGTACGATCGAAGACGACGAAGGCCGGTAGCGAGGGTTTGGGATAGTTATACGTGTTGATTGGCACGTGAACAGATAGGAACGAACAATCTTAAACATATTGTTTTTATTGTTGTTGTTGTTTCGGTCGTCCCGCCTGCGACCGGGCCCCGACCCACCCGCGACCCAACCGCGACCCACCGGCGACCACCCCGCGACCCACCCGCGACCCATCCGCGACCCACCCCACGACCCACGCGCGACCCACCCGCGACCCACCCGCGACTCACCCCGCGACCCGCGACCCACCCACGACCCACCGCGCGACCCACCCGCGACCCGCGACCCACCAACGACCCACCCGCGTCCCGCGGGCGACCCACCCGCGACCCACCCGCCACGACCCACCCCGCGACCCACCCACGTTTCGCCCGCGACCCACCCGCGACCCACTCTGCGCCCAGCGCCTCCAACTGCGGGCTGCTATGTTAGGGTGCAACCTTTCCAGCCGACCGTGGGGCAGGCGTCCCCGACAACGGCAAACATTGTTTGTTATACCGATCTTTGCCCCCCAATTCTCAGAAGTCGGCGGAGCTTCTCGGAAGCCATCAGGCCTTCTGAGAAGCCCCTTGTGCCGTCGGGAAGCAGCTTCTCGGGAAGGTCCGCGGCCTTCTGGGCCTTCTGAGCAGGCCCGCTCCCTCTGTTTTCTCCCCTGGGCGCACTGCCGGATCCCACCAGCCCTTGAGGTCGTGAGTGGTTTAACGCGTTTCCTCTTCGTTGTGCGTCGTTTGATGGGGTGGCGACACACTTTTCGAACCTGAACTGCCCCCCATTTGTGCCCTAGAGACCCCCTTCTGGGAACCCTGAAGGGCCCCTATTCTTTGAGCAGGGACCGGCCGTCCCGGCATTATTATAGGCCTACTACGATATGTTCTTAGAACCCAACAATGTTTTCATAACAACGACAGTGCTATTAGAACATTAACCCGATTTGCTAAAACAAGAAAGTCCCAGCCAGAAATGTTCTGAGAACATGTCGTGGAAACCATAAAAGGTTCTTAGAACATTCTTTGGTAGGCCGATGGGCACGCCAAGACGCTTCGCCACTGCTTGAATTATGCGGCCATCGCTGCGCCCCCATTCATCGCTCCCCCCATTACGCGTCGCCTTGCACTTTGCGACAGGACATGGTTCATGCGTGGACTCCACGCGACCGCTTTGGATAGGTTTTTTGGCAAGGACGGCGGGGGTGCCGTCAATTTGACTGCCCTGTGCAATGACAACAACCCCATCCATCCCTTGCAACAGAAACTGCAAACTGCGCCTGGGACCAAATTCTGGTTCATGCGCGGACGCGCTCCGATCACTTTGAACCGTTTTTGGCGGGGGTGGCGGGGGTTCCGGCATATTTTCGGCAGTGTGCCATGCCAACACCCCCAAGCCATTCCTTGCCACACAACAATACAAAATACACTTTGCATTCCAATTCGGATCATGCGCGGACGGCCCGCGATCACTGCGCATTGGTCTTGACAAGGGCGGGGGGAGGGGTCGGAATGTTGCCTGCTGTGTGCAGGCCCACAAACTCTTCCAACCCAAATTAGCTCGACGAAGGACCCAACCATATTCTGCTGCGAGTACCGCGAGGGAGAGGAGACGCAGGAGGGGGTGCAGCAAAAAGGACTGCGGCGTGAATGAGGGGGAGAAAAACTGTCGCGGACGAGCAAGGAGTCTTCTTGGTTTCGCCCGAGCCCCGTGCGCGGCCCGTGCCACGCGGACGCTCCCGCTGGGGCCTTCGGTGGAGCTCCCTCTGGGGCAACGAACGGTGTGAGAGGTGCGCCGACATGGGGCATCGGTGCCACGCGGACGCTCCCGCTGGGGCCTTCGGTGGAACTCCCTGTGGGGCCACGAACCGTGTGAAAGGTGTGCCGAAATGGGGCGGCGGTGCCGTGCGGACACTCCCGCTGGGGCCTTCGGTGAAGCTCCCTCTGGGGCCACGAACCGTGTGAGGGGTGTGCCGAAATGGGGCGGCGGTGCCGTGCGGACGCTCCCGCTGGGGCCTTCGGTTGGAACTCCCTGGTGGGCCACGACGTGTGAAAGGTGTGCCAAAATGGGGCGGCGGTGCCATTGCGGACGCTCCCGCTGGGGCCTTCGGTGGAGCTCTCTGTGGGGCCGAAACCGGTGAGGGGTGTGCCGAAATGGGGCAGCGGTGCTACGCGGGACGCTCCCGCTGGGGCCTTCGGTGGAACTCCCTGTGGGGCCACGAACCGTGTGAAAGGTGTGCCGAAATGGGGCGGCGGTGCCATGCGGACGCTCCCGCTGGGGCCTTCGGTGAAGCTCCCTGTGGGGCCACGAACCGTTGTGAGGGGTGTGCCGAAATGGGGCGGCGGTTGCCGTGCGGACGCTCCCGACTGGGGCCTTCGGTGGAAGCCTCTGTGGGGCCACGAACCGTGTGAAAGGTGTGCCAAAATGGGCGGCGGTGCCATGCGGACGCTCCCGCTGGGGCCTTCGGTGGAAGCTCCCTGTGGGGCCCGAGCTGTGTGAAGGGGTGTGCCGAAATGGGGCGGCGGTGCCATGCGGACGCTCCCGCTGGGGCCTTCGGTGGAGCTCCCTATGGGGCCACGAACCGTGTGAAAGGTGTGCCAAAGGGGCGGCGGTGCCGTGCGGACGCTCCCGGTGGGGCCTGCGGTGGAGCTCCCTATGGGGGCCACGAACCGTGTGAGGGGTGTGCCAATGGGGCGGCGGTGCCATGCGGACGCTTCCACTGGGGCCTTCGGTGGAACTCCCGTCGGGGCGCACGAAACCGTGTGAAAAGTATGGTGTGGCAAATGGGGCGGCGGTTGCCGCTGGGACGCTCCCTCGTGGGGCCTTCGGTTTGAATCCTGTGGGCCACGTAACCGTGTCTTTATTATTTTTGTGAGGGGGAGTTTTTGTGCCGAAATGGGGCGGCACGGTGCCTGTGCGGACGCTCCCGCTGGGGGCCTTCGGTGGACCTCCCTGTTGGGGCCACGAAAACCGTGTGAATGAAAGGCCTGTTGCCCAAAATGGGGCGGCGGTGCCAAGCGGACGCTCCGCGTAGGGGCCTTCGGTGGAGCTCCCATTGTGGGGCCACGAACCGTGTGACGGGTGTGCGAAATGGGCGGCGGGCGCGTGCGGACGCTCCGCTGGGCGAGCCACCGGTGGACTCCTGTGGGGCAGACCGTTCGTCGAAAGGAAGTGGCGGCTGTGCCAAAAATGGTGCGGCGGTGCCCGTGCGGACCGCTCCCGCTGGGGCCTCGGTGGAGTCTCCTGTGGGGCCACGAACTGCGTGAGGGGTGTGCCAAAATGGGCGCGGTCCCCACATGCGGCCTGTGCCACTGGGGCCTTCGGTGGAACTCCCTGTGGGGCCACGAACCGTGTGAAAGGTGTGCCAAAATGGGGCGGCGGTGCCGTGCGGACGCTCCCGCTGGGGCCTTCGGTGGAGCTCCCTGTGGGGCCACGAACCGTGTGAGGGGTGTGCCGAAATGGGGCGGCGGTGCCGTGCGGACGCTCCCGCTGGGGCCTTCGGTGGAACTCCCTGTGGGGCCACGAACCGTGTGAAAGGTGTGCCAAAAATTGGGCGGCGGTGCCATGCGGACGCCCCCGGTGGGGCCTTCGGTGGAGCTCCCTATGGGGCCCCGAGCCGTATGAGGGGTGTGCCGAAATGTGGCGGGTCGGTGACGCATGCAGCCAAACCACTTTGGCCTTCGGTGGAACTCCCTGTGGTGCCACGAGCCGTGTGAGGGGCGCGGCGCTGACGATGGCGATGGTGATGATCATGATGGTGCGGATCATGACGATGGCGATGATGATGCCGATGATGACGATGACGATGACGATGACGAGGCGGATGGGAGGAGGGATGAGGGGGAGGAAGGAGGGGGCAGCGGGAGGGAAGGAACGCGGGGCGCTGTCTCTTCACAACGAGGGCCCAACACCACAGGATTGTTGGGAAAGGAAAGTTCATGCTTCCAGGGACGGCGGGTGGTGCGGCATACTGGGTGACGCTTGCAGACCTATTACCCATGCCAAAACAAGTGCGAGATGATTGCGGGCGCACGCCCATACCCGCGCACGCACACAATTCACAGTGTTCGCGAATCCGCCATAACTTAGCGTCGGCCTGCGACAACGATTGTAGGCGGTCGGTGTACTGCCCAAACTGGCGCACATGGCCGAAATGTTAGACGATGTTCGCGGACGCCCCTGGCGCACTCTACGCGTGCCCCGAAGGTGGCACACCTGGCGCAGCTGGAGCAAACAGCACACTTGGTGCACGTGACGTATCTGGCGCTCCATGCGTGCCTGGCACGCTTGGGCCCCACGGTCGCCTAGTGCGCGTGGCGCACCTACCACACGTGGCGCACCTCGCACGACACACTACAGCGATGGCGCCCCGAGCGGGGGACACGTTGGAGCACAACTCCACCAGGCGTTGCACCAAGGCCGCGCTAATGGCAATGCTGGTTGACGGCGATGTTGGATATCTGGTCTTTGTGGCGCCGAACTCGCGCAGAACAGATGGTAGAAAAAGACGAGCAGCGCTTTCCTACAACAAGGCTGGCCACGAACCACCCCACCTACAATACCGAGACCTACATCGCCGTGACCTACGCCGCCGTCAGCGTATCTACGGTTGCAAGTGGTGGACTGCGACAAAGAAGTTTACGGCACCACAGCGTGCAGTTGGAGCACACATACGCACACGCGTGCACATGAACGCACGCACGCGAACCAGACACGTCAACCCGCATAACCGCACCACACCACATCCATCAGGGGGGGCAACATCAGCCGAAGCGGGGCCGGCCCCATTGGCATGGGGGGGAAAAAAACATGGACCCCCTGGATCCTACGTGCTACCCATCCGTGCCCGAGAGCCAGGCGAGCCTCAGCAACTCGGTCAGCTCGCGTCTGATGTGCCGAAGCTCCTCTGGGGGAAGATTTACCGAGACATGCTGAACCACACTGGTTAAACTCGGTCTATACTTTGCCACTTGCCTCAAACACTCGAAAATTCCATCCGAGACAATTGTCTCATCCTCCCGTGCGCCAGTGACAACAAACCTGGTCCACCGCACGCGTTGCTTCTTCCATAGCCGATGCAGACCCAATCAATATTTCCAGTTTCGTTTTTTTTTTTTTGCTATGAACGGTCCCCACGTGGTTCTCTTCCTGACAGAAAAAGAAAAACATAAACATCGGCTTATACATAAACTTCGGCACTCCGCGCGAATTTCCCGGATTGGCGCCCGACAGCCCTCCCTGGCGCGTGAAGCGCGCTAACGCCGCCAAGGGTCCCAGCGCCGATCCCGGAAATGTGCGCGGACCTCCGAACGTTCCTGTGTATGCACATTTGTCTTCTCTCGGGGATGGACGGAAACCCCTTTAGTAAAACGTGGTTTCGTGAAGACGACCTCGGGCCCAAACCTGGCGGGCGCAAGCCTGGAAAATGACGGCCGCGGCGCCCCCTCGAGAACCCAAAACGGACAATTCAATAATCGACGTGTCAGGAGGGGTCTTCTGTCCACCCCTGAACTTCCTGGCTTGATTTAGGGCGGGGTTTTCGGACTCAACCGACTCAACGTGTTTTTTGTATCATCGTCATCATCATCGTCATGATATTCATCATCGTCCGCGTCATCGCCATCATCATCACCATCTCCTTATCATCGTCATCATCATAATATCAAGCATCATCTCCTCGTCATCGTCATCATCATGTAGTGATGATGATGATTAAATCAAGACCCGCATGACGATGATGGCGGCGTGAACATGCTGATGCTGCTGATGATGATGGCGATTCTGATGAAGCCGATGATTGCGATGACGATGGCGATGAAGATGATGACGCTGACGATGATGAGGATGACGATAACCTTCTTTCGGACTGCGCGGGCCGTGCTGAGCACTAATCGGAAAGCCCCACAGCCTCCGTGGAAGCGGGCCACCGCATTTCGTCAAGCACCTCCGTGAGGTCGGGCAGCGCCACGGGGACCCGTGCCAGGTGATCGACCACGACGTGGTTCACGACGTTGAAGAACTCCTTCGGGCCAGGCGTGGCGTCGATCCTGCGCGCCCTGAACTCCCGAAAGACGTCGGAGCGGATCATGACGGCGATCTGCAGCCTGCTGTCGTCCACGCGCTGTTGCAGCTCGTGGTGGGTCGCGAAACAGCCCTGGCAGTCCGCGGAGGCGTGGTGGTGCACGTTGTGCTCGAGGGAGGACAGGGTGCCCATGTAGAAGGACCCAAGCTTTTGCTCGAGGGTGACGACCCTTCCGCAGGAGGCTGCGCTCGAGGGTGACGCCCCATCATGTGCTCCCAGGACCCCTGGGATCCTCACTTGCACGGAGCGCGCCCCGAAAATCGTCACGGCCGCGTGCAACAGGGAGCATCCGCCATCTGTTTGCATGAGCTGGATCGATGCGTACGCGAACGCGTTGTCGGCGAAGTGCTCTGTCATGATGGGCTTTCCGTTCTGCTCGACGATGGCAGGTGGCATGCCGTCGGCTTTGACAGCCTCGCGCATTTTGTCTCCCAGCTGTTGCAGCCGCGGGCGCATCTTCTTCCGCAGCGCTCGCACGAAGGCGGCCATGTGGGGCGAGGGGGTGATCTTCAAATGCCCGTCCTTGTTGAGGCTGCGGCACTTCGGGGGTTTTCGTCGTCCACGATGCCTGCGACCTCTGTTTTCAGGCCCTTTGCCGCCTCGTCGCCTCGGACGCATTTGGCGACGGTTGCTCCCGTGTCCAGGCGCTCCTCGGCCAAGTTCTGCCAGCACGGGTCTCTCTGCAAGAAGCGGAGCAAGTCTGGGTCCAGCTCCGCCTCCGCTATCGTGCCCGTGCCGTTTCTCCCCCATGCGCCATGGATATGCGCACGTCGAGCTGGGCGCCAGCCGGCTGCAGGAAGCGACGAGCCCTTAGACGACTGATTGTCGCTCTGGCGCCAAGGTGCTCAAGCAGGCAGCTCTCGGCGGCCTTCAACAAACCTGGGGGGCAGTCTGCAAGTTCGTCAACGGGCCAGCGTCCTCGGCCGTCGAGTGCCTTCGCTGTTTCAGCCTTTAGCCAATCCTCGCCCGACCGCTTGAACCACTTCTCAAAGAAAGGCAGGTTGTCCAGCCACGGGGCGGGTTCCTGGTCCTCCTACTTGTAGAAGTCTCCCGACCCTGGCGCCTTGCCTGGGATCCCCAAGACATCCCTGCAGAAATCCACGAAGGCTTTCGGGTGCCCCCCTGGATGCCCGAGCGCGCCGCAAGGCTCTGGTTGGAACAACACCTTGCGCGTGTACAACTCCGCCATCAGGCACCCGATGGACCACATGTCCAGGTCCTCTGGTTCCCCAAAAAAACGTCTACCGCTCTGTAAGCGGGCGTGCATGCTCCGAGGTCATCGCAGGTCGGGCTGTAGCGCAGTTTCTCCTTCAACCTGCCGTGGGGATCCGCCATCTCCACGCAGCCGAGGTCGCCGAGCACCACCTGCGGAGAGGGGCGGATGGAGGAGAGGGGAGCGACGGCGACTGAGCTCCCCCTGGAGGGAAGGGCGGGATAGAGGGCACGACGACGGCATCTCGGGGGAAGGGTGGAACCTCCCTTGTTAGAACTCGGTGTGAGACCTAACATGAAGGCTAGTGAGATAAGCTGAGCTCTGACCTCGTATATGAGGGCGTCGTCGGAGCTCTAACATGCTACGTTAGAGCTCCATGGGAGCTCTAACACGCTATGTTAGAGATCCATCGGAGCTCTCACATGCTATGTTAGAGCTCCCTTGGAGCTCTAACATGCGATGTTAGAGCTCCCTGGGAGCTCTAACATACTATGTTAGAGCTCCATGTGAGCCCTGACAACTCGGGATCTTAGTCGAAGGAACGACGATGATGACGAGGATGACGTCGACGACGGCGAGGATGACGAGGATGACGATGATGACGAGGACGACGAGGACAACGACGACGAGGACGAGGAGGACGACGACGAGGACGACGAGGATGACGAGGATGACGAGGACGACGAGGACGACGACGACGAGGACGAGGAGGACGACGACGAGGGCGACGAGGACGACGAGGACGGCGAGGACGACGAGGACGAGGAGGACGGGGAGGGCGAGGAGGAGGAGGACGACGACGACGGCGACGACGACGGCGACGACGACGTCGACGACGAGCGCCTCGAAGGGACTCGGGATCTGCCAGTCGAACTGCAGCTTGCTCTTTGGGCGCGGCGCGACTGGATCCCATTCGCCAAGCTCACGTGATACAAGTGCCTGCTTCTCGAAGCAGCCGCGCGCCTGCGGCGATCCTCGCATCGGGATGCTTGCGGGCTTGATGTCGCAGTGAACGAGGCCCCTGTCGTGCATGTACTGGAGCCCTTCGAGAACGCTGTTCAGGACGCGGCGCATCCCTGTCTGCGCGAAGGAGGACTGTTTGAGGAATTGGCGGACATCGATCTCGAACAACTCGTGCGCGAGGCCGATGTGCTCCGTCCATGTCCAATCTATCCTTGGTACTGGCTGTTGCAGTTCTCGGTGTGCTTTCTTCGGGACTATTGCAGTTCCTGGGCACAACCTCCTGAAAAAGGCCCACGTCGAGCAAGCGAACGAGACGCGGGCGCGTGCCCGCAGCACCGTGGCGCGTGACCTCATCCAGAGCCCCTCCGACGGCATCCGTATTGAACCCCTTCTGCGCATCGATGGGGTCGCCCCGCAGCATCTCGATCGCAAGGCCAGTCTTGTCGCCCCGTCGCGTTCCCAAGTAGACCTTGCCGAAAGAGCCCTGACCGAGCTCCCCTCCTTCCCACTGCACGTCGTACTCGAGCGGCAGGTCCTCGCACTTGCTATTCTGTTTGTTTTGGTACGCGTGCCCGACCGCGTCAAACTTCAGTGCAAGTAGATTCACACGACCCTCGTCGTGGGACACTGCTCTCGGACCAGCAGACCCGCGACGAGCAGCTGCCGGTGGCGCAGGCTCCGATACCCCGTCCGCGGCGGGAACGAGCACCTTCCCCAGCGCGTCCTCTAGGGTTTCTCCTGCGACACCGTGGCCCTCGGCGACAGCTGGCTCATCTTCTGCAGCGTTAGCTGTTCCAGCCCATTTCGCGCACCCTGGCACCCCCGCAGGCTTGCTCACGTAGTCTTTCCAGTTGGCGCCCAGCGCAATCTTGAGGAGCTACGTGCAGGTGTCATGCGAAACTGGATTTGGCCGCGTCAACACACATTTGTTCTTCGTTACCTTCTCCAGCGTCACTTTTGCGGTCGGGGCCCCTTTTGCCACCCTGGCCATGCTATTGCTGCAGGTATCCCTCAGCTTCTTGTTGATCTTGTCGCTGTTCGACCCGTCACCCTGCAGATAACAGCCCCACTTATAGAAGAGAACCTTGTTCCTGCCGCGACCGCTGCCGCCCGAGGCAGCCATCGCCGCGGAGGCCCGCTGACGGCAGTGTCGTCCCTGCGGGCCCGCTAAATTTCAGTGGGCCGAGACGCCTGCGGGCCCCTCCTCCGTCCTCCTCCCCCCCCTGCGGCCGCTACTCGGAGTGTTGCTTCCCGTGTGTTCCCTACCCTGCTGCATCCCCATCCTGGCCCGCCCCTACAGAGCGCCGTAAAGATGCAAGGGCCTTGGCGGCATGGTCTCTGTCGTTTATCCAGCTCCCCAGCTTCAGGACGGAAAGCGTAGGATGCAAGGGTACCCTTTGGAAAGGTAAGCATCCTGACGCTGCGCCTTGCCTGCGCCGTGGGCCAAGTGCGACGGATGGCGACGAAGGGATGACGGAGGACTATGTTCCTATCTGTACGCAAGGTGCCGTGCACTGCACAGGCCAGAATGCGGCGCGCGTCCCACTACGAGAACGGAGGCGACGCCGCCAGCGCGCGACTGTTACAATCCAAAATCAAACAAGTGGCAGCTCCACGGGAACAGGAGCGCGCGGGCTGGCTCCTGC